GCGCACGGTTACACACCCTGAACCCCAAACCCTAAACCCTAAAGTCCTTTGATGGATCCAAACGGCCTCCTCGCGATGGTTCATTGGCATAAGAGGCTCAATGGATGAATTACCCTAAACCCTACTACAATACAACGCCATCGTAAATCCATGCAGCAGCCCTGATCCCTTGGCAATAGCATTTTGCAAGCTACTGTACTGGCAGGTCAATGGGATTTAGACTGCTTCTAACTGGGCTTAGAACCCTAAACCCTAAACCCTAACTCTAAACCCTAAACTCCAAGCCCTAAACCCTAAACCTTAAAAACTTAAATGAAATCCTGAAGCTGGACTTATGTAGGTTACCCAAATTATAGGTACGGCTGCAAGACCAGTTACAATAGAGGTTTTAGGATTTAGGGTTACTAAGTCCCATGAAGAACTTCAAACAGAATTTTGAACATCTCTGACATCTTGGTCTACCGCCCTACCTCGAAGGCGGCCCACTACAGACCCAAAGTAGTACACTTCTGTGTAGGAACCACGCGCAAAAAAAAAGTGACTCCTAACTCTTGGAAACCCTAATCCCTATACAGCAGCATATACCCTCAGTTTTCATGTCACTTTCCATTTGATTCTCCATACATGAAGTAGTAGCCCCATACATCCCTAATCCCTAAACCCGAAACCCTAATCCCTTAACGCTAGACCCTAATCCCTAATCTCTAAACCCAAAACCCTAACGTATTGCCCTCAGGTGTCCGAAGCCAAGACTGTCCCCGGCAAGGTCCCTTCGCTGGACATTGGGGGTTCCAAATATTTAAGATCCTATTGTGGGAGTAATTACATTTGAGCCCTGGACTGAACTTCTACTATGTCCTTTAAAGGTCCCCCCTTAACCTTACAGGTCCCGTAGCTCATATATCGAGGATGGTGGCATTTTGGGGTCGGCAGTGGGGTGACTGGGGGAAACCTGACTACTCGGGAATACTGCTCCCAGTGAAATCCTGTTGATAAAGGTAAGATTTGCAACCCAAAGCTTAGGGTTTAGGGTTTAGCTGCAATATGTTTGACCCGCGTTTGACAATTTTGTTGGTTCCGCAGGGGAGTTTGTCACGGAATTATTCTGTGGCTCCCAAGCATTGAACACCCAAGGAAAGATGCCAGCCGCTCTGTAAGGTCTCTAGGGGGTTAATCAAGGATTAGACAGGGGGCTCTTTCACATCAGGGAGCAGCAATTACCCTTTTCCCGCGGTCAACACTGGAAGTTCCTACAGACTCTTGCTTTGGAAAGTGCACCTATGGTAAAAGCCCTTACTTTGCCAGTGGAAGAGCTTTAAACTTTTCGGCCTTCCTTACTTGGTCTTGATATTCAAGTTTGAACTTTTTTGGCTCTGGCTTTTGAGGAAGAGAGAGCCCGTACACTAATGTAGTGATCGTGGTTGTGCTAACGGAGCCCTGGGTATTGGGGAAGAGAGTATAGTTTCGATTGAATTCCATCCCTTGATATCCCCTACTTGGTTCATGGGACTTGGTGACTCCTTATAACTGGCCTTCAAACCCCACCTATATTCCCCCAAGCTGGACTTATTCAGGTTCCCCCCTCTTATATAAAGAGGGTTAGAAGCCCAGGCATAAGTAGTTACGAAGCGGGTGGATCTTTTTACAAGAAAACCGAGACCCTCCAAGTAAGGGTACCAAGGGTGTCGGGTTTGGGTCTTAGGGTTTGGGGCTTAGGGTTTAGGGCTTGGGGTTTAGGGTTTGGGGCTGTAGGGCTGGGTTTAAAATACAGGAAACCTCAGAAACTGACTAGGGTTGAGCGTTTCAATTTAGAGTTTAGGGTTCACGGTTTAGGATTTAGGGTTTAGGGTTTAATTTTTAGGGTTTCAGGTTAAGGCTTGAGGGTTTAAGGTTTAAGGTTTAGGGTTCAGTGCCCAACCTTGAACAGTGCCCCACTTCTGTCATGCAGGAACATGATACCTTATTGGATGAGCTATAGCCTAACCTCCTTGAAGCGGGTTACTTAGGGGGTCATATAGGGAAGGATTATTGGGGTTCTTAACGGGGATGCTAGGAGTTTAGATTATAGCCTGCATGTATATGTATATATAAGTGTATATATGACTAGTACAGGGTTGGAAAAGTAGTCAATGGAAACTCCAAACCAAATGAACCCCAAACCCCGAAAAACCATCTAGCCTAAACCCTAAACCCTAAGCTCCTTAAACACTCGCAGCACTACACCCGAAGGTTTCGTCTCAATCCTCATGGCCTCTGGCAGCCGCTGGACTGGTTGCTCCTGTGATGGCCTGCGGGGTGGAGGGTTTAGGGCTTCGGGTGGTAAGATTTGGGGGGTTTCCCAAAATTAGGGGTACCTTTTTGGGGGTCTCAATAATAAAGACTATAGTATGTTGGGGTCTACATGGGGTTCCCCTGTTTTGGGAAACTACTAACTACCATTTGGTTCAGGGCTTAGGGTGGTGAGATTTAGTTTAGGGTTTAGGGTGGAGGCCCGAAGGTTTAGGTGAGTGTTTAGGCTTTCGGCTTTCGGGTTTAAGGCGTCGTGTCTAGGATTCGCGGTTTAGGGTTCAGGGCTTTTTGTGAAGGACTTAGGGTTTAGGCTTTGGAGGGTCAGGAGCCCTAGATAAATTTGTTTCTAACAGGGATAGCTGGGCTTGGTATATATGGCTTACTTGAAGGGGTTACAAGTATATTTGCTAAACCCTAAGCCCTAAAAGCCCCAAACCATAAACCCTAAACCTTAAACCCCAAACCCTAAACCCGAACCCTAAACCCTTAACCCTAAATCCCTTGATGCTCGAAGACGCGTTGGGGCCTGGGGGCCTGACCTGTGTACTAGAGAGCCCCTAAACGAATATGGTGTGGGGTTTAGGGTTCAGGATTTCAAGTTCAGGATTAAGGATTTAGGATTCAGGATTTAGGAATTAGAGTTAAGGGTTTCTGCTCCCACTACACCTTCACCTGATTCAGTGAATACTATAGGGTAAGATGGCATATCTCCTCTTTGAAGGGTGCTGTAATAGGAAAAGCACAAGCTCACTGGGTTCAACCCGAAAACTCCACCCATTTAAATCCACGTAGTTCCCAGCACTTCTTGTTGCCTTTGCTTCACAGGCCGTCATGAGCCGCTCCAAGAAGAAGGCCCAGTGCCCTGGCCTTCGAGAGTTTCTGCGGGGTTTAAGGTTGTGGGGTGTAGGCCCTAAACCCTACAACCTGAACCCTAAGGTTCAAGTAGGGTCTAGGGCGGTCTCGGAAGAGGTGGCCCCGTTTCTAGGATCTCGTACCGTATCCTTACTCTGAGAAACCTCGATTTCATTGATCTGCCCAGGTTCAACGCACAAAACACTGCAGGTAGTCGTCCCTACCTTCCTTCTACATCGAGAGGGGGCTTTTAGTCTTAGTGACCCCAACCCCCAAAAATTGGGACCATATGATAGTCATATTGTGATAGTTGTAGGATCCTTCTTGTAGGGCATGAGGTAACCCTTCTTACTACAGGCGTCATTTGCCCAGTTGCTCAGGTCCAAGATTCCGATGAACAACGCAAGTTACGCCTTCCAGCGCGATGTCTATGCTGACCTGCAGTTGCTTCTATTCATTGGTTCCCCTAGTACCCCACCACTCTATATTAACATACTTAGCCAGTAGAAGAACTTTGACCTTCTTGGCCCACGCAAATACGCTGGGGGGCATGCTACAGACAACGAAGCGCTTTAACCATTTGGGCTTGCTGTTTGGGTCTCCATAATAAAGTTTAAGCTTTTTTAGCCTTGGTTCTTATTGGGGAAGAGAGCTACTACCCCCCGCCCTAGGTTCCCCCTTAATCAAGGTTACTTAACCGTGATATTTGGGAATGGAAGAGGGCTTAGACCCTAAACCGTAAACGCATTGAAGGATCCTGCTTTGGGATTTCCAGGGCAACAAGAATATCGGGGTTTTCTAAGCCTAGGTGATTATTCTGTTTGGGACTTAGCTTGGACCTTAGACCCTTAACCTCTTGGGATTCCCTTATACTCGTATTGTAGTACGGGGTTCACCCTTAGTAGGTTTCCTAAGTGGCACGTAGTATTCTCAGATTTAGGATTTAGGCTAAAGGTGTAGGTGAATCAAATGGAATAAAATGGAACATGAAATGGATACTGGGATTATGTCAGGTAGCGTTGTGTGCTCAGGTCTGATTTCAACTAGGGTCTTTGGGGAGGGTATGTAGAGTTCCTCAGGAATATTGGTGAATATATTTGTATATATACATACGTACATACGGTAGTTTCCAAACATTGGGGGACCCCAATGTGTACCCCAATATAGACGCCATACTCTACAATCCTTACTGCAGAGACTCCACAAAGGTACCCCTAGTTTTGGGAAATCCCCATCCAGGTCGGGGACCACAAAACCCCTAAACACCTAAACCCTAAACCCTAAACCCTCAAACCTAAACCGAATGGGACATCTTTGGGGGCTTTACTCCGTAAACACTAAACGACTAGAAGGATTAGAATGGCAAACCCATACCGGGAACCCCAAGCATAAAGCAGTAGTTTAACAGGAATATAAGGACCCTGGTAGGTGTATTCCGAGTATATTCCTATTAGCTTCCTACTATACTCTTGGGGTTCCCTCTTTGGCGTTTCCACTAAAGTCCATTTGTAAACCGTGTTTTTCGGATTGTCTGTTGGTGAAGATTCGGGTGCATAAAAAAGTTCAGCAACGATGCGGGCTACTAACCAGGTTCCAGACTTTTGAGCTAAAAGTAGACATGAAGCCGCCGGGTTCCGGCCTGTGAAAAGTTTATGATGGTTTCTAGGTACCCCAGTAATACACTTTTTCCCTGTTCATTTTTGGGGTCTCCTTATTAAAGCTGAACAGTAGGAAAAAGGGTACCCTCATTATTAATGGGTTACTGGAGAACCTATATCACCCCTATAATCCCAGTTGTTTCCATGCTCTTTTCCAATATCCCAATATAACCCTGAGAATCGGCATCCCAAGAACCTGAGGTTCACCAACGATGTGGGCTACTTGCCGGACGGCACCCCGCTTAACAAAGCGGGTAACGCCATCAATCACCCAGAGACGATTGGCGCGGACAAGCACGTGGCTGGATCTCCACTTCCCCGCGCCAAGTTTGTCTCCTTAGGAGTTGCTTTCATCTTTGCTATAGTGATAATCCTAAGGGGTTATTAAACATACTGTTGTCATTCTAAGTCTAGGGGGATTACAGGTGCGAAGTTTGTGAATTCGGTTGGATACCTTCCGGATGGAACGCCGCTCAATGCGGCTGGCAATGCAATCAACCACCCTGAGACCATGCAGCCGGACCCGCATTCGCCAGGCTCCCCCTTGCCGCCGTCAACTTACCTCGCGGACATTGGCTACCTGGCTGATGGCACGCCCCTGGCCACTGCGGGCAACAATTCCGTTAAGCAGCCTGCACCAAGCGCTCCACCAGCAGCAGCTGCGGCTGCTTTCGTCGGCTCGAGCGTTCCCTCTCCTCCGCCCATGGCTGCATCCGCTCCGCCACCCACTGCTGCCCCAACCAGCCAGGGAACAGCCATGTATGGCCGCAAGTTTGAGTACAGCTTCCAGAAGGATGCCTACGCTGAGCTGGAGTTCTGCAACGATGTGGGGTACCTGCCGGACGGCACTCCGCTGAACCGAGCAGGAAATGCCATCAACCACCCGGAGAACATCGGCCCTGACCGCCATGCTCCAGGATCTCCCTTGCCTCGTGCGAACTTCGTAAACTCGGTTGGCTACCTTCCGGACGGCACTCCCCTCAACCGTGCAGGCAATGCCATCAATCATCCTGAGAGCATCCAGCCTGACATGCACACCCCGGGCGCACCGCTGCCGGCCTCTGTGTATGCTGCTGATGTGGGCCGCTTGTTTTCAACTTCATCCCCTGGCAAGTTTCGCATTTTAAGGGCAGAGTTCTTGCCCACAAGTGGTCCTTGACGCAAGTACTTGCAAGATTTTGAAGGCCCGAGTACTTCAGATTTGATTTCGGCGAAAGATTCCCTAACTTCAATATTCCTACAAATACGGAAGTTGAAACCGCTGTAGGACCCTAAGTACCGTACACCTTGGGAATTGTTGTCTTTTTAGTGCACTAATGTCATGCAGGGTTTTTGTGATCTTTTATCAACTGCCTGTCTACACAGAGGGACTCCGTATGATGCAATGGCACCCACGGTATGCAAAGGCAGTTCGTTACTTGAGGTTGCATGGGCTTTAGTTTCCGCGTCTTACTGGGCCTAAAACCCAACGTATAGTCCCCTTGTAACCCAACTTACAATCCCCCTAACTGGATTAATGTAGCTTACCCCAAGCATCATTGCCAAGTCCCATGAGCCTTCAAGTATTGAAAGGCAATCAAGGAGTACCCTTTTCCCTTTTTAGTTTGGGGTCTTCTTATTAAAGCTAATTAAATATTACGCAAAAGGGTACCCTTATGAAGGGGTTACTGGGGAACTTTGTGATAATGATCTTAAGAACCCGCTGAGGTTGTAATTTCTACAAGGCGTCCAGGGAACTTGGAGATTACGGGTGAGACCCTTGAACCTTATGCCCTTTGCCTTGTCTGCTGTGAAAAAGAATGGTGGTTGTTATTGTTGTTGGTCTTATCCGTCGTATTATGTTTCTGCCACTTTCGTTCAGGCATGGAAAGCCCAAGTTAGACTTAGGTAATATCCTAACAGGAGGTGTCGCGCTGGGGCCTGGGTTTCCTAACTAAGGCTATAAGCTGTGGTAAATGCTACTTAGAGTGCATATCGCTGTTGTCGTAATATGCCGGTCTACTTGTTCAGGGTTCAGGGTTTGATAGTTTATTACCGTAAGCCCTAAACGCTAAACTTTTGCGCTTGGGATTGACTATAGTCGCTGTGGTTGAGACCCAGGCTACCTCGTTGACGGCACGCCCATGGACCGCGCGGGCAACCTCTCCGTGCAGTGATCCAGCTAAGCGCTGCTTCGTGCAAAGTTCCGCAACACAAGCCAGTTGGCTCTGAGTACGTAAGTAGATATGAGCTATAGTCTAAACTCCTCGACGGGGTTATATAAGGGGTTATATAGGGGAGTACTACAGGGTCCATTAAGGGGGATACTAGGAGTTTAGATTATGGCTCATATTGTAAACACAGAATATCAGCCTACTTCGAATGTCTCGCAACATATGCTATCGTAGTTCAACTTGCCCACAGTGGCAGAAATCATTGAGCGTTTGCCGCCTTTTGAGCGTGCGCAGGCGCCAGACATTGGGAAAAGCCCAGCAAGAGTCGTGCAATGCCCTAAACCCTAAACCTTGATGGCTCCACATGTGTCGAGCTTGACAACCTGGACCCCAAAAGTAGGTAAAATAATAGCCCAAAACCACCTAATAACAGGCCAAGAGGCCATTATTTTGCATACTTCTGAAGTTCAGGAACAGATGAGTAGTATTCCAATTGGGGGCCCTTAAGCTATGGAGTGAGATTATTTCCCCCGTTTTGCTTATGGCATCTAACAGGAGGAAAATATTCCGAAGATACCAACGACCAAAATTGACTCCTAAGTGGGATGCTGTGGGGCCGCAAACACCCTAAACCCCAAGCCCTGCACCCTCCAACCTAAATCGTCAACCCTGAACTCCATAAACCTGAAACAGTTCAGAGACTATGGATGCCTCTGGATTTAGGGCTTACGATGCTTGCATGCCTCTTTTTTTCCCTGGCCGTGCCTAGCCTTCGGCAGACAGACCTCAGGGAGGATCTAGAAAGTAGAGTCCCCGAATATGGTACCGTTTTAGGGTGTAGGGCTTAGGGCTATTGGATAATTTCCCAGAATGTTGTGGGGGGGATCTACTGTTTACCCAACATTGGAGTACTACACTTTAACTTTTTTTGGTTCCTGGGTTCTTATTATAACAACTTATACCTAAAAAGTCTGTATTTTTCTGGTGTGTATTCCAAACTGCGCTTTAGGGTCTAGGGTTCAGAGGTGGGATCTACTTTTCTAGATCCTCCTAGAGGTCTGGTCAGACAAAGCTGAATCAGTTTTCCGAACGAAGGCGATTGTCGAGTTGTCCAATTAGGGTCACACGAGCTATAATCCAAACTCCTGATAGGGGAATATATGGGGGACTACTATAGCGGCTATTAGGGGGGATACTAGGAGTTCCGACCATAGCTCACATTAGGTCTAGGCTTTTTGCACCCAAAAAAAAGGCGCCGCAGAGTCAATCGGCAACTTCTAAATATAATCCCTGCGTAATGTTGAAATGGGTCCCGTTAAATCTCCTTTTAATCGCCTAAACCCTAAATCCTAAATCCCCTAAACCCTTAACCCACCTTAAACCCTAAACCCTAAAGCCTAAACCCTAAATCGCTTTGTTTCCTTAGCATCGCTCCCAGCTCCCCATCGTTCGAGACGCTCCCAGATTTACCCATTAAGGGCTCAGAAATTGGACAGCTGCCTAAAGGGCGCAGCCGACCGCATGCGAGTGCGGTAATGGTCTGATACTACTCGTAGCAAGTTTCATGGATTGCGATTCATCCTCGACTTGCTAATATAGGGGCCTAAATGATTACCAATATTATGGTTCCATATTTCTTATATAATCATAGTATATGGTACCTCAAGTGGACTTCAAAATCATATTGTCAGTTCTTTAGGCCCCTGTAGTAGCCCCTTGGGCTCCTTTCCCAGGTTTTAAAATTAATTAAAGCTAATGAAGCGGAAACCTATGGAGGTAGAAAAGGGGTGTGGGTAAGGAACCCAAAAAAATACGGCTCGTAGCAGGTTGGTGAGTGCCATGAATCCTGCTTTGAACGTCAAAAGGCTGACCGCTACTGCTGGAGAAAGTCTTGCACCACTAGAAGTACTCCAAACCGTTAAAGTTGCATGGGACTTAGTAACTATTGATAACTGGGATTCTAGCCCTACGTATCATTGGGGTAACCCCTATCAGCCCATTTCAGGGTGTTATAACTAGGGTTAAGCCCAGTTATAAATAGTCACTAAGTCCCATGGGCATCCAAGTAAGTGGTGCAAGAGTTCCTCCATGCACCGTATGTTTGTTGTCCTTGTGCCTCCCACTGCAGCGGCAGTGTTGTTACCACGCAAGTTGTTCGACCATGGAGGTAGTTGGAGTGCTCCTAGTACAAGGGTTGCCATTCCTGCTACTGCTGCTATCTGCTGCGCAGTTATTGTTTGGTTCCCTTCGAAAGGGACCTCCTAACCCTAAACCCTAGACCCTCAAGCCCACATAAACTTGCCATTACTTCGGGTTCTCAATTTTCCTTAATCTCAAAATTTCCGAAACTCTAAGGTCAAAGATCCGCCCCCCAAACCCTAAGTTATGATAATACACCCTAAATTGTGCCTCTGTGTTTGGCTCATAGCGTTGTCGCGTTCGAAACCAATCGTGCGCTTGATCTCGTCGTGGTACCTGTGATGCAAGGTTTGCGTGTAGGGTTTAGGGTCTATAGGGCTCAGGACTTACAGATTAAGAGCTGAGGGTTAGGGGGGTAAGGGTCTAGCTTTTCGGGCTTAGGGGTTTAGAGTATGGTAAGGGGTTAGAGGTTTAGGGGTTTCAGGTTAGAGGGGCTTAGAGGTTCAGGGTCGAATTATGGCTTCCGGCCTACTGTAGCGAAGATTATTCCTCTACAATCCTCGCAAACTCTTATTTGTTGGAATCATCATTACTCCTACTATAACCCCCATATATTCCTAGAACCTTACTCCAGTCCTTTGTATAAGCTCCTACATTAGAGAGTTGTCTTGGTGAGCTGTTGGCGGGTCTGCGGGAGCTGGGTCGGCCTCCGGGTGTTTGGGACTTTTCCAGTTTTTGTGTTTGTAGGCGACCCAATGAAGGGATTTCCGAAAATTCGGGGTACCGTTCTGGAGGGTCCCTATCGCATAGTGTTTGGGAGTCGATATTGCTCCCCCTGTTCAGATGTATGGGAACTTCCATATGGCAGTTTCCCAAAGTAAGGGCAAAGACCCTAAAATACTGTAATCCCTTTGTGGGGACCCCGAAAAAGGTACCGAAACCCTAAGCCCTAAACCCTTAACTTTGGGAAACCCCTATACAAATTCTTTCCCTAAACCCTAAACCCCTAAACCCTAAACCCCCAAACCCTCAAACCCTAAACCTTTAAACCCTAAACCCGAAACCCAAACCCTAAACCCTTCAAAGGGTTTATAAGGCCAACACGGGAAATACATGTAGGACGGCGGGGAGTTCAGTGTGGCAGAAGTAGACCGAAAAGTTCCAAAAAGTATTTTTTTCGGGGTTTAGGGTGTAGGGAACAGCGAACCGCAAGAATACAGTATCAATGTCATAGGAATGTAAGGACCCTGGCAGCTATGTTCCCAGTATATTCCTACTACATTCTTGGGCTTCTCTGTTTTGGGGTTCGGATTACAGTCCCTTTATTTTTTTTCCATTTGGATAGCCTAGCGTCAACAATTGCAACAACGTGAGAAATGGTTTGCACAGTACTTGGGGATTCATGAGACTCAATCAGTAACTACTTATAATGGGGCTTCTAAACCTACTTAAAATTCGCCTAACTGAGCCTTATGTAGTTAGCCCGAAAGTTGTGTCTCGGCCCAACTACAAGCAGTTATTAGATCCCCTGAATCTGCAAGTAGGTGTGGGGTGGTTTGAACCTGGGAGTCTACCCGAGTGCAGCTGGCATGGATGGTTTAGGGGTTTTAGGTTTAGGGTTTCAGGGTTTAGGGTTTTCAGGGTTTAGGGTTTTCAGGGCTTAGGGTTTCAGGCTTTAGGGCTACAACGGCAAATACCGGTAGATGTAGCAATAGTGCATTTCAGAAGCATGCAGCATGAGCGACCATGGTCCTGGATGCGCCAAGCCATGCAAAACACATATGCAATTT